CACTATTTTGAATCTGAAGAGATACACCAAAGACTTTTCACAGGCCCCTACCACTTTCAACCAAAAATATTCATCCCCTCCAACAAAATTTCACACTCCCTCCCCCCGCCCCACACCCCACCCCACCCCCCCAAACTCTTCCCTTCTTTTCCAATATCTCCCACACCGCCTACCATTCTTCTCCATCTCTCTTCTCCTTTTCCTTCAATTCTACTCTTTACAACCCCCCCCACCCCGCACCCCACCCCACATACACACACCAACCAGGGGACTAAAAAGAACACTTTTTTTTACACTCTACCGACCAAAATTTCTTGATTATTTTCTACTCTTTAACAAAATCAAAGCAGCAAACTTTATTGGTTTTCATGGCTAAGTTAATAGTAGAAGTTCTTGATGCAAGTGATTTGATGCCTAAAGATGGTCAAGGCTCAGCAAGTCCTTTTGTTGAAGTAGAGTTTGATGAGCAACGCCAAAGAACTCAAACTAAAACCAAAGATCTCAACCCACAATGGAATGAAAAACTTGTGTTCAATATCAAGAATCCAAGAGATTTTGAAAACCAGACAATTTCTGTCTATGTTTATAATGACCAAAAACATGGTCACCACAAGAATTTTCTTGGTCGTGTCAAGATTTCTGGTTCTTCTGTTCCTTTTAATGAATCTGAAGCTTTAGTTCAAAGATACCCTCTTGATAAAAGAGGTATCTTTTCACATATTAAAGGTGATATTGCCTTAAAAATCTTTGCTTTTCTTGGTTCTGCTGATGTTGGTGTTGGTGGTGATAATGGGGTTTTGCCGCCGGAGAATTTTCAAACTGAGGAGCAGAATGTGAATATTGGTGAAAATAGACCAACCCCATTTACTCCATTTCAAGAAATTAACACCAACAACAATAACTTTGAAGAACAACAGTATATGAAGGAGACTGAAATCAAGAAGATGAAGAAGAAAAAGGAACCAGAGGTAAGGACTTTTCATTCTATTCCGGCACTGGCGCCTATGTCGGCGGGTCCTCCGCCTCCTCCGGCGGAGAGACCGGTGGTGGTTGAGACAAGGGCTGATTTTGCAAAGGGTGGTGGACCTATGGCTAGTAATGTAATGCAGATGCAAATGCCTGGTGGTCCAAGGCCTGAATTTGGGTTGGTTGAAACTAGGCCACCTTTGGCTGCTAGAATGGGGTATTGGGGTAGAGATAAGACTGCTAGTACTTATGATTTGGTTGAACAAATGCATTTTTTGTATATTAATGTTGTGAAAGCTAGGGATCTTCCTGTTATGGATATGTCAGGGAGTCTTGATCCTTATGTTGAGGTGAAAGTTGGGAATTACAAAGGTGTTACAAGGCATTATGAGAAGAATCAATATCCTGTGTGGAACAGTGTTTTTGCTTTCTCCAAAGAAAGATTGCAGTCTAATTTGATTGAAGTTACCGTGAAGGATAAGGATTTTGGGAAGGATGATATTGTTGGTAAAGTTGTGTTTGATATTGTTGAAGTCCCTCTTCGCGTTCCCCCCGATAGTCCTTTAGCGCCGCAGTGGTATAGGTTGGTGAATAAGAAAGGGGAGAAGGTTTCACAAGGTGAAATTATGCTTGCTGTTTGGATGGGAACTCAAGCTGATGAGGCTTTTCCTGAGGCGTGGCATTCTGATGCTCATCTGGCTAGTCAACAAAGTTTGACTAACACACGGTCCAAAGTGTATTTTTCGCCTAAGTTGTATTATCTAAGGGTTCATATTATTGAAGCTCAGGATCTTCTGCCATCAGATAGAAGCCGAATGCCTGAGGCTTATGTGAAGTTACAGCTTGGTCATCAGGGCAGGACTACGAAGCCCTCACCGATGAGACACATTAATCCGGTGTGGAATGAGGAGCTTATGTTTGTTGCATCTGAGCCTTTCGAGGAGTATCTGATCATGGATGTTGTGGATAGAGTTGGACCGGGAAAAGATGAAGTGATTGGCAGGGCTATGATATCGGTTAGAAATATTCCGACCAGAGTGGATAACGCTAAGCTACCAGATGCTGTATGGTTCAATCTTCTTAAGCCTTCTCATGCAGCAGATGATGATGAGAAGAAGAAAGAAGTGAAGTTCTCTAGCAAGATTCACCTTCGGATTTGGATAGATGCTGGCTACCATGTTCTTGATGAGTCCACACATTTTAGCAGTGATCTTCAACCATCATCGAAGCACTTGAGAAAGGCGAGTATTGGAATTCTTGAATTAGGTATTCTCAGCGCCAAGAATCTGCTACCAATGAAGGGTAAAGATGGTCGAATGACAGATGCATATTGTGTAGCTAAGTATGGGAACAAATGGGTTCGAACAAGAACACTTATTGACACTCTGGCTCCTCGATGGAACGAGCAGTTCTCTTGGGAAGTGTTTGATCCGTGTACCGTGGTCACCATTGGGGTTTTCGACAATTGCCACATCAATGGTAATCATGAAGCTAGAGATCAGAGAATCGGTAAGGTGAGAGTTAGGTTATCGACTCTGGAAACTGATCGGATCTATACACATTTTTACCCGTTGCTGGTTCTTACACCCTCTGGTTTAAGGAAACACGGGGAGCTTCATTTGGCAATAAGGTTCACTTGTACAGCTTGGGTGAACATGGTAGCACAATACGGGAGGCCGTTGCTGCCGAAGATGCATTATGTACAGCCCATTTCTGTTAGGCACATTGATTGGTTGCGGCACCAGGCAATGCAGATAGTGGCTGCAAGATTGGCCAGGGCAGAGCCACCTCTTAGAAGGGAGGTTGTTGAGTATATGCTGGATGTGGATTACCATATGTTCAGCCTCAGAAGAAGCAAAGCCAATTTCTTTCGTATAATGTCACTTCTTTCTGGGATATCAGCAGTTTGTCGATGGTTTGATGGCATTTGCAATTGGAGAAACCCTTTGACAACTATCCTTGTCCATGTGCTTTTCTTGATATTGGTTTGCTACCCAGAGCTCATTTTGCCAACAATTTTCCTCTACCTGTTTGTAATTGGCTTGTGGAACTACAGGTTTAGGCCTAGAGCTCCACCCCACATGGACTCTCGTCTTTCGCAAGCTGAAAACGCACACCCAGATGAACTGGATGAAGAATTCGATACATTCCCAACTTCCCGGCCTACTGACATGGTGAGAATGAGGTATGATCGGCTGAGAAGCGTGGCCGGGAGGGTGCAAACTGTGGTTGGAGATTTGGCAACACAAGGTGAAAGGGCTCTTGCCATACTAAGCTGGCGGGATCCAAGGGGTACTGCTATATTTATAATCCTTGCATTGGTCTGGGCTGTGTTTCTGTATGTTACTCCATTCCAAGTAGTGGCGGTGCTCGCAGGCCTTTACTGGTTGCGCCATCCGCGATTCAGGAGCAAGCTGCCATCAGTACCTGTCAACTTCTTCAAGAGATTACCATCCAAGTCTGATATGCTTTTGTGAGATGCTGCTAATGTTTTACTTTATCTATTTATTCAAGTGTAAAATAGATATATGGGTTCAGTGAATAAGTAGAATAAACAAATGAAAGAGCAGTTTCCTTGCTCCCCCATCCTGTATTAGATAACAAGTCATTTTCTTGCTTTTTGGCTTATATTGGAAATCATTCTATGAGGTTGTAGAATATAATTGTTTGTCTCGTTTAGATGTAAAAATGAAATGCATATTCATAGCCGATAACAAGTGTTCATTCTCAAATTATTTTCATTGCTAGTGTCAATTAAACTGGTTACAGAAAAAAACAGCACAGAGAAATTACTATTACTATAGCAAAGTGTATATAGCACACAAAAGCCATCATATTAGTCGTTCATACGACAAACCACAATGTCAAACTCTTGGACGATTAAGCGCATTTGGCCTCTCTGTGTAATGGCGAAAATAAAGGAGACAAAACTGATTTACTTAGATGTCAAACTCCTAGATCCAAGATTAAAAAATAGAGCTACTATTGTGAACAAGCTCAATAATATTCCACTAAGAAGAGCTATATCAACAGGACCCCAAGCGCTCTGGTGACCTAAATCCTGTATTTGCTTCTTCTCCTTGGACTCTGACCCGGCAAAGTCCATCTTTTCGGAAGAATGATTCTTACGATTCCTTAGAAACCATCCAATTAAGTTTCTGCTACCTTGATCATCTTGCTCCGGTTCATTCTTCAGCAGTGCTGTTGTTTCCTGCATTGGACTTTGACTGCAGCAACTAGTTGTTCCACAAGAAGAACCGGGTTCTTGCTCTTTTGAACAGGCGCAAGCTTCTTCTGAATTGGCGCATGGGGAGCACTTCTCATCAACTCTCTTATGTGAACCAACTTCCTTATTAATTTGGCTGAGGATCTCGATCACTTCTCCGAAGACTGACCATCTACCTATGGATGTTATGTTCACCATAGCTGAGGCACCCAGCATGCTTTCTGGACCAATCACCAGCACCTGAATGTATCCCTTAGTGTGACCCACCTAGACAGACCATTGGGAAAAGAAGAAAGTTACTCATGGGAATGAAGCTATTTGCACATAACATCAACAACAAAATCAGTGATTTCCCACAAGTGGGGGTCTAGTGAGGGTAGTGTGTATGCAGGCATTTACCCCTATCCTGAGAGGGCGTAGAAGCTGTTTCCAGTAGATACCCTCGACTAAAGAAAAATGATAAAAGTCATTCAAGAAATGAAAATGCAGCATTATTGGCATGGAGTATGAAATGTATATTAGACTTGAGCACTCTTTAACTTTTCGTAGAGCAACTTACAACTAATTTGGGTATACATAATTAAACTCTCACCGAGTAGGAGTATTATACTTCAAAAAAAAAAACGGATTCACCAAAAATACAGGAAATATTATCATGTCTCAGCAAACAACTGCATCTAGATTGAGAGGGCGTTAGAAAAGTAAAAAATTGCTGTTATCCAGATTACTGGCTTCTATGATGCTTACCAAATGAATTCCATCTGAAGCTATGTCAGTAATCCATATCCTCTCTACTTTGCCTTCCATTCCAGTATATGGAGTAAAGGACTCAAATACTGTGGTTAACTCACGGCTTCGTTGCTTCACCACATTACTAGGGACCTTCTTCATTCTTGCAGCAGGAGTGCCTGATATAGATTTGTGATACCGACATCAATCCATTAAGCAGGTTATGAAATATCAGTCCTTAAGCAATAGCATGACTCTTTGGATCTATCCATATAGTGCCAAATGAACAGCTGAAGAAAAAGCTTCAACATCTCTCACTTGTTTATGCAATATCTAGAGATTTTTGCTATAATTTTCTTCAAACTGGATTAAAGAGAAGAAATCTTTTCCTTTATTTTTCTGACTACTATATCAAGAACAATTGAAAAACTTTCAGCTCAGCTAAAAAAAACAATTGAAAAACTGAAAAGCAACATACCAGGCCTAGGGTAGAACTGTGATATATGAACTTGAGCTAACTTGTAGTCCTTAATAAGGTCAACGGTTTGAGCAAAATCTTCATCGGTTTCACCTGCAATGCAGGGTAAAAGGCATCAAACCGTGTGCAATATTTTTCAGGCAGCAGAACTGATCAAACATCTCCAGGTTTTAAGGCTAAACTCTTGATGAAGCTGAACCATTGAAAATGTCAAAAAAAATTCAGTTCGATAATCTGTTGACCAGATTTGGTACGTATCCCCCACCCACACTCACACCCATGTCGTGTCGTCACGGGTGCGGCCCCAATAGTTAAGGGTCCGAGCAACTTAGGTCTGAAGAGAGGGCCCTGACACAATGACCAGTAAAGCAACTGCCAACAGCTTTGATACTCTGGAGGAATCTTCTAATAGATCTATAGCAGTAAAGCTATGTATCCCAAGAAATAAACAAATAGAACCATTTCCCTTTTCAAAGTAGTTATGAGGATTACGATTAAAAGAAGATGTATCATTTCCTTATTCAGAAAGAATCCTCTCTTCTAAAATCAGGTTTCAAGTTATTTGATTCCGAAACTCACTACAGCAATGACCCAAACAAGGAGTTGAGAAAGGGGGGACTGGTGAATTGGTAGAATGGCCACTTGAAACTTGAAAGACTAAGCTTTCTAACTTGTGGAGATACAGGATTCAGGTCCAAATTATCTTACTAGGCAGCACAAGATGTGCAGACACATACCAGGAAATCCACAAATAATATCCGTCGCAATCTGCATCCCAGGGACCAGTTCCATCAATGTATCCACCACCTTCCTGAACTCACCCACAGTGTATTCACGATTCATTGCCTGAAATTGGTGGACAGGAAAAAGAGATGATAGTTTTGTGATAGACAACTAACTCCCTTAGCAATAACATTGTAAGGGCTATTTCACAAAGGCTGTTCGAAACCAAAAAATTTAATAAATATTATGTAATTCAAACTTACACTCAAGACTGAATCACTACCCGACTGAACTGGCACATGAAGAAAAGTGTACACACATGGATGACGTAAGACATCAGCTATCTCCTTCAGGTGCTCGAGAATATAAGGAGGATTGGTCATCCCAATTCGGAGCATTGTACTTCCATCCAAAGGAAGCTCTGCAACTATAGCGTTCAATAGAATAGGAAGATTAACTCCAATGTCGCGACCTGCAAAATTGAGAAAGACATACTACGTCTGTTATGCTTGTGCCCTACACTCTAAATATGTCATAACACTATCGCCAACTACAGCTTGTCTACTGTTCACAGCTTGAGTTTATTGCCAATACTACTCTACTAACCAAATCAAGATAATAAGCACTAGAGATGGGTAAGCATTAAGACAAGTTTAGTATATGTTGGGTTTCTGGTTTCTTAGCACTTAAATAGTTATTAAAATGGAAGCCCCCACACCCACTCTCCCTCTCTTTTTCTTTCAGAGGTTGAATGAAAGAAAAAAGAAAAGCTTAAAGCTTGAGAAATAAAATGAAATACTGATTCATTTATTTAGTAGCACATATGTTAAGGTAAAAAGGCGAATTTACCATAAGCTCCAGTGTCTTCACTACTCAGCCAGATCTCTCTCACTCCATCAGCAATGACATTTTTGACTCGGCCCACCTAAATTTAGATTCTGAATCAAAAAGCTAGAAAATTTAAAATACACATTTTGCTGCTCATATAAAAGAGGACCTACAAGGCTGTCAACTGTGTAACTTCCTAAATGACCACGGGCATGCTTCGTCTTGCAATACGTACAAGCACCTAAACAACCAACATTTATTGGAAGAATCTCAACAAACTTGTTCTTTCGGACCTGTAAGATAAATTCCAATTCCAAATGGTTTAGATAGAAAATTTACTTGAACCAATATATGGGAACTGATATAAATATAAAATCTGCACCTTTGGAAGATCAAGTGCTGGTAATGTCTTCCGGGTTAGAAGCCGAACTTCATGACCTTTCAAAGTCTCTTCCACAACTTCAACCACACGGTCAATCTGCTGAACTCCTACTATACTAACTCCTTCTAGCTCTTTCAGGTTACGGCTTCCTTGAGGGACACAACCTGCTACGACCAATGGCTTTTTCGCACTTCTGCCTTTACTTATAAGAGTATCCATGGCAGATTGACTAGGAGATTTGACTGTGCAGCTGCACCACATGAGAAGTATTAGCTGAAATGAATTAGCTTTACTACAGAAGTTCCTTTAGAGAAGCTTGAGCTACAGCAGCCAGATATTACTAGCAGCCCAGCAATAACCTGCTGAGCTTATACACGCAACGCAAGCACAAAAACCTACTTGAAAACAAATTGTTTAACTTTTGTGCATAATGCACTAGCATCTTGATTCAAAGTGTTGGAAGCAAGCCTAGGATTCATTAAAACAACAATAAATGAACTAAAATACGTGGATAAGACGCAATGCATTCATTTGCTTTGACATGAAAAGAACATGACATAAATCAAACCAAAGGCATGAGTAGACCCTATATCCAAGGAAAAACATCACTAACATGATCTTCTTCTTCCTTTTTTTTTTTTTTTTTTTTAATATTGTCACCCTCCAAACCCCCCATTCTCAAGGAGTCAACAATGGCCCTCTTCTCCCACTTTGGTCCTGTGCTGACTAAAACACCAACCTCTTGGTTGGAAGTGGAGTGCTCTTGCCACTGAAGCAACCTCACTTGTCAACACCAATAACATGACTCGAGTACGAAAAACTGAGCCAACTCCATTGTTATTAAGACCGATGGAGTAATGCAAAGCAAGGAGTCATATCTTCTCGTGGGTAAAGCAAAGCAAACTTCAAAGAGGCTTGTGCTTCATGCAGTAAAGCATAAAACAACTCGAGCAAGAATCAATGCTTCTTCGCATGTTTTTTTTTTTTTGATAAGGTAAGATTTTATTAAAGAAAACAATATCAAGCTGATACTGGGAAATTTCACAAAAAGGAAGCTGCACTTGATTACATCAAATTCCTAAATATTCTAGCAAGTCTAGCACATCACATAGATTAAAGATAGTATTCGCATTCTTCCAGAAATACAAGTGATACAGGCAGTTAAACTTTAAATATTCAAATACGCCAGTATATTAGGAGGGAAAAAGAAGAGAAAGGGGATAACAGTAGAACCTTTTGTCCTCTACATATTGGGAACTCAACTCTCTACTTTTCTTGTCTATTATCTATTAAGCTTTCTATTCTATAACTCTTTATTTATAGTCTAATTCTTTATTTCTAAACTGATATTAGCAAAATATAAAATACACTTGCAATTAAAACTAATTATGGGAATTTGGAAAAGTTCCTAAAACAATAAAATATGAAAGTTATTATTGTAAATTAATTCCTTTCTATGGAGGATTAATTAAATACTAGAAATAAGTTCTTTAAGAACACATATCTTCCTATGAGTTGATATTCAATTTGAGTTGTTGGGATTATGTTGTTATTGTTGTCCATTTTTTTTTATTAATGAAGTAATATCAATTATTATGTTATAAGAACTAAATCCCTTTTTTTTTTCGTAATTGCTGTACCTTTGGGTAAATTATGCGCTTTATTTCAAGAAGTGTATGCTCTGTTTTCGCTTCTCGCTTAAAGCACCGGGAGGCTTGTTGCATTTTGCACTTTTTTTTTCTTAAGACCCTAGCCAACTCCTAACGAAAATTTCCTGACTCTATTGATCCACCAACTTCCAAAAAGGTCAAAACTTTTTACATTTGAATACAACATCCACATAAAATCAATTCGTTACAATGAGAAAATGCCATCCCTAATTTTAAATTGATAAAAAGATGCAATCCCCAATTAGGTAGTGAAGATGAAATAGATGCAGAGTACCAGAGAAAACACAAGCCATGAGCTCTAAGCCTCTTAACAAATATTCGTTTCTATCTAACAACTTACAAATTAAATGAGCAAAATCTTTCTTATCTCCAAATGAAGACCAAAGACAAGAATGCATACTGAAAAAGAAAAGGAAAAAATTCTCACGTATTTATCATCCACAGGTCTGCCTCATCAGGGTTATCACTCAGAGCATAACCAAAAGCTGAAAGCTGACCGGCCATATACTCGGAATCACTCTGCCAGAAGAAGCAGGATATAAGATAATCAAAACAAATGCAAAAGGAACTTAAATTCAGTTGACAATAGCTGAGCAAAATAGATGCAGGGGGTCTTGAGATTGGTGGTTCACATAATGGTTGTTTTAACAATCATAGGTAAGTTAATTGAAGTCTTGAACTACTAGAGATAACTTAAGCTAGATAGCTAGTGATTCGTTCTCCATCTTTGGTAGATCAACTAGGTGGGGAAGATATAATAACGCTGATGAAACCCCTTCACTCTATGCAATTTGACCAAGCTCTAGCAGCGAATTACTTGTTCAGTTGTTCTTTGACGTCAATAATTTTCTGGTTTTTAATCCAGGCAAAAGTAGAAAGAGAAAACTGACAACTCTCACCCTACTCAAAAATTAATAGAACTTATACTCCTATTTTCTGGTTCCAACTACTGATACTACCTAGCAGAGCCAAGATCTGTAATTTAGTACATCAAACTTTCACCAAAGCTTTCTACCACACTCTTTGACTCAACCTCAGGATTCCCAATGGACCTAACTCACTCAGCTTACCTCAAAATAGTCTCAAAGATACTCTGAGCTGCAAATTTGTCTACTCACTTCCATTCAGAGAAAATTATCCAACCTATAATAAATAGCCTTGCCAACATTACAGTTGCGAAAGATGAAAACCTACTTCAGTCACAATCTTTTTCTTTCTTTGATAATGTAGAAATCCTCAAGAGTCAGCCGGACAGTTCGAAACTCCGTAGATAGTGGGCCTGCCAATCTACCCTTATTCACTTAAATACCAGACTTCTGGTAGGCAGCAGGGCTTGAACTCGTAATGTTCTCCTAAGCTACACAGCATGTGTTGCACTCTTATCACTAATCCAAAGCCCTGGGAGCAGCCAAAGCTTTTTAACCCTATTAACAGTGAAAATAAGAAGTAATAAAAAAGAAGGATATGCATCTCTCTGTACCAATTACTCTTACATGCTAAAGGAGCTCCATTAAAATGAAGCTATACAAAAATATGGTTCTATACCATCAGTAAATATTTTGAATCATGTAGACTCTTTTCAGCTAGTTCTTCTGACATTTATTTGCTTATTACAAATATAGCCACTACTTCAGTCAATAAAATACTCCTAATAGAAAAAGAGAGTAAAAAGAAGATCCCACTAAGCTCCTTCCTTGCTAACATTCTCAAGTTCTACCCTAAGGTGATAAGGTTTTACATAGTAAAAACATAAAAAGCCTAACAACAGTAGCGGCGCATAAACTATGTTCGTCAACCAAGTTTGTTCAGTGGTCGTAAGCTTATAAATCTGACCCAAATTCTCCATTTTGGTACACGCCAAAGCATTCCATTTCGGCGGATGCTTAGGTTCTCTTTCTTATATATGTAAGTGGCACTGTCAAGGTCCCAATTTTTCAATGTAAACCCAAACTTCACAATGAGGTCCTATATTATACAATTTACTCTCTGGGTTTCTTTACCCTCATAAAAAAACCATAAATGCACATAAATCACAAATCTTTCTTGCTTAAAAATCACATTTCAAACAAGTCTTTCTGAAGAAGTGAAACTTTTGATCAATAATACTCCTAAGAAATATCAGAACAATCATTTTTTTTTCAAAATGTGCATGATATAGTGAACAAAAAATGTACCTGATTATGAGAACATCCAAAAGTCTTGATGTAAATAGTCTGCAAAATATTCATATCATAGAAATAAATCATAATCAAACAAGAATACACAGTACAAACCACAAAATTCAACTAATGAGTAAAAGGGGTTCTTCAAAAGGACGAAAAAGGTTACCTGAGTGCCAGGTATTTTGGGTGCAGGTGAGTCTTGCACTACTGTTAGCTTATTCGTTACACCATTCTTTTTCCTTTGTTTTGGATTGACTCCAACGGCCGCCGGAACCGGTAACCGGAACCCTGGAGGCACTCCGGCGCCGGCACCCGCAAGTAAATCTTCAATGTCTTCCATTTGATTGCACTGCAGCGTGTGTGTGTGTGAGAGAGAGAGAGATATTTCTGTCAAAGACGAGAAGCTCAAAGGGTTCGGAACTTCGGACTTCAGAGTGGCATGGGTCAACCCCTTTTTTGGGCCCAGCGAAATCTTTTGTTTGTAACTGTTGATCCAATATTTTGGGCCCAAAGCAAAACACCACCCATCCAAAAAAAAAAAAAGGAAAATTATGGGACACGTCAAATATATACATTGTATTTACCATTCGAAGCTATCTTTTCAGCAAATTTATGATCCGTAGCTATATTAAATTTTATAGCAAATCCATGAAACAGGAGATTGATTGTTTTAACTGAAACAAGAGAGCAACAAGCTCTTGTACCTTAGATGGTTAGAGCGCCCGCGAAGTTAGCTTGAGTTCGACTCTCAACAAGAATATTTTATTTTTCTTCATTATGTATTTTTTGTTGGTTGTATTTGTTGCGCGAACGAATACAGTTGATAAGAATGCATTGTATACACCCTTGTATTTCGCCTTGGTTACTGTTGATACATGTTTTCATTGGGCGAATGAATACAATTACGCGAACGAATACAGTTGATGCAGGTTGTATTTGTTGCGTGAATGAGCGAATGAATATAATTGCCACAAGATGTATTCATTGCGCGTTTGAATACAAGTGATACAAGTTGGTAATAATTGAACAGTACCTATGAATGATAGTTCGGCAAACTATAGTTACTAGGCTCTAAACTATAGTGCTTTATGAAAATTCCTCGAGAAAAAAAATCCTAAAAAATTCACTAGGCGCCTTATTTGGTCACCCCTATTTAACATGTATCGACTTTTTTTTACAAAGATTAACTAATACCTAATTTTCGGGTAACTTCAGATAATACGCCTTTCTCTTCTTCGTTGTTGCTTTAGGATTTTTTTCTTTCTCTTGGTTGCAAAATGAGTTTTTTTTTTTTTTTTATTTTTTTATTTTATTTTTTATACAAATTGATGATTGAGGTTTATTTTTACGATATTTGAAAGTTATGTTTTAAATTTAAACTCATTTGGATTAGATTCGGGTGTTTAATCATGTGTTAAATTGTTAAAATTCAAAAAAATAAATTTCTATTTCCGGGCAATTTGTACTACAGGCTAAAAAGTATTAAGTGCTTGCAAAAATTAGTCGTACTTTAAACTAAGACAATCTTAAGTGCATCTTAAGTTTGCAGCTTCAGAAGCAAATTTTTTCAACTTCAGACTTGCTAATTTTAAGTTGATCCTAGGATGGATAAACCTAAAAAATTTTATGCAATACGGGAATAACTTCAATAATGACTCCAAACTAGTATATATGTAAATCCCCCGTTAGAAGTGTGTAAGCCGGATAAACAAATATTTAATGAAAATAACATGGGCTAGCAGATTTAATCGAAAAATTTCCAGCATATTGTGTTGGAACTTCAACACATTATAAAATTCCAGCACATTATGCTGGAATCTCAACTGTAAAAATTTCGAACTCCAGCATATTATGATGGAATTTTTCCAGGCTTTTAAGGGTGTTTTTGTTCAAATTTTATCTTTACATGAAAACGTAGTTAAATTTTGATTATTTTTAAAATCGTGATTATTTTTCAATTACCAATTGTAAATAAACAATTTCTATTTTTTTTTTTTTTGCAAATATTTATTCAACTGAAAGTTATTGGGCTTCAGTAGTTGGGCCTTTTCAGTGACTTGTAAAGGTGCACACTTGCTATAACCCATCAGACAATTAATAGCCCAGCTCAACTAATAATAAAAGAGGAATTTTCAAAAATGGCTATTGTTTAGTGGCTATTAATTTGCTATAGCAATCATTTACTTTATTACTTTTTATAGCTATGTTTTCACTTGTTATAACGTGTATTTGATGTATTCAAGCTACTCTATTCATGAATACAGTAGCAAAACTCGACGGAAAACAAGAAAGTCCAGCTAAACATAGACTGTATTCATATGTATTCGCGAGCTGTATTCGTGAATACAATAACAGAAATCTGCGGAAAAAGGTGTTCAGCCATTTAAAAACGGTAAGTGAATCAATTAACGCAAAAGACTCCTAATATAACTCAACAAACTCAATTATAACACGCAAAATTTGTATTTCCAGTTATAGAAAATATTCTCAACCGAAAAACACCCCAAAAATAGAGCAATCTTCAGAGATTCAATCCATCTTTTCTTTTTTTAGTGGTATCTTTACTAAAATATTTTTAGTGGTATCTTTACAAACAGATTATATATTGAAATTATATAATTACATTGAATACAGTTAAATACATACAATACATTGGATACATGAAATATAGTAGGTCATATATAGTGCAAAACATATGTATACATACTGCAAATACATTTGAATACATATATACATCTGAATACATAAATTATATTAATTAAAAAAATATATGAATACATTCTACAATACATTGATTACATACTGCTGGACAAAAACAGTGAAACAAAGTGAAGCTTTGAAATTATATAATTACATTGAATACAGTTAAATATAGTGAATATACTGAAAAAGCAGAAAAACCTAAAGACAATGAATACAATGAAATACAGCGAGATACATTGAATACAATGAAAAAAAAGTATCTTTTCCCTTAATCCCTGAATCATCATCCATAAGTTTTCTTCTCTTTCCGCATAAGGAAGTGTTGATACTTTCGAAGATTTCTCAAATTGGGCTTGCTTCAATGTCGGGTAACCTTCTTGTACAACTTTAACACTTACCACAACTTTTTGGAGCAAAAAAATTTAAAATTTTTGCAAGACAATGGAGATGCATCAGTGGAGAATCATAGTTGTATTCATGGAGAAGAGACTGGTGTTGAGAGAGAGATGGCGGAGAGAGATCGTGGTTTCTGAAAATGGTGTGGGTTTTCGATTGCCGCCGAATGTTCCACCAAGGTGGTTGAGTTCCATGGCTTTGTCGACTAGGGTTTCTGCTGCCAAGCCGAAACATTGTTCTTTCCAGTAGGTGTTTTGGTATATTTTGGACCTGAGAATTTTCTCCACCAGATTCTGTGGGTTCGTTCCCCTAATGCTCTTTGCCAATGGATCGGTGCGATTCACCATAACTGTCAAACCCTTATCGGATCAGAGTGGAGGGGTTTTTGGGAGAAAGCCCCAAATATGGGAAAGAAGAAATCGAAAGGCAAGGGAGTATATAGAAAGTAGGAGAGAGAAAAATATTATCCCGCGTATTTAATGGCTAAACGGTAGGAAGTGACCGTAAACATATATTTTGCTATAAAACCTAAAAGGTAGCTATAAAAATAATATTTTAAAAGGATATTTATTTATAATAAATAGCGTGTAAAGCGATAAAATTTCAAGGGAAATTGACACTGGTGACACCGGCTCTATATCTTGTAAATAATGTGGTTAGTTGTCACATTAGTGTCATGATAATAGGCGAAATCTAGGCGATTTAGCTATTGTTTATGCTTCCGTTTAATTACATTTCAATGATTAATATGGTTATTTGATGAAAAATAGGCTCTAATTGTGATTTGTGTACATTGCAGGGTGAGGAGCTTATATGATGTTTTCAAGAGGTTATTGGAATGATTTATGGGCAAAAACGATCCTTCGGAGTTGAGTGCGTGCAAGAACAAGACGAAAAATTGGAAGAAATCAAGCCCCAAGCGAGCGAAGACCGCGCGAAGTCGAGCAGAGTTCGCGCGTGTTACAAGCTGAGACAGAAAGGGCGCGCGAAAACCGCGTGAAAGGCGTGCGGTGCCGGTCCGGAAAAGAGCTAGCTGGGGGTAAAATTGGAAATCTGGAAAGAAACCTACTTAACCTATATAAAGTCAAGCTCGCCCAAGGTCAAGGAATTAAGGTTTTCATAGGCTAAAGCAAGAAATAGAGAGGCAAGAGGCAAGGAGGGATTTGGATCATCAAGTTCTTTGTTTCTTCTCTTTGTTTTTGCTAATTGTGATGAAATTGAATCTATTTATGATGAACACCAGTATGAGTAGCTAAAACCCATTGTTCTAGGGTCATGGGTAAAACATGAATGTTGTTGTTTGAGGTTTAATTCGACAAAGTTGGTTTATCATCTTGGGTTGTTTATTTAATTCTGCTGTTAGTTGTTTTGCTGAGTAGCTAACAGTGAAATACTATCTACGAATCTAGAGTTGAACTCGAAAGTGGGAACTTTAGGTTGCATATAGAATTAAATAGAGCAAGTTCTTGAACCCGGGCCTCGGAGAACAAATTTGCAATTGGGATAGACATATACCTAATTGCCTTACTTGGTTAAAATACAGGAATTGTAAATGCGTTCTTGTTAATCTTAATTCCATAGACATATAGGCATTGAGTTAACTTGAATAAGCGAGTAAGAACTCGACAGATTCTTATGAGTAATATAAACCCTGTCAATCAATAACCCAGATAAACNGATTGCAAAAGAAGAATGATGATCGCATGTTCAGCAAATTCCTCTCCATGTTGAGCGAGGTTCAATTGAATATTCCACTGGTTGATGTGCTTCGCGAAATTCCAAAATATGCTAAGTACATAAAAGACATAGTGGCTCATAAGAGGAGATTGACTGAATTTGAGACAGTTGCACTTACTGAGGAGTGCACTTCTAGGGTCCAAAATAAGCTCCCTCAAAAGCTTAAGGATCCTGGCAGCTTTACGATTCCTGTGCGTATTGGTAATATTGATGTGGGTCGTGCTCTTTGTGATTTGGGGGCAAGCATAAATTTGATGCCCCTGTCTTTGTTCAAACAATTGGGCCTGGGAGCCCCAAGGCCAACTATTGTGCTGTTACAGCTGGCTGATAGGTCGATAGCACACCCTGAGGGGGTGATTGAAGATGTGTTGCTGCAGATTGGGAAATTTATCTTCCTGCTGATTTCATTATCCTCGATTATGAGGCGGATGAACTTGTCCCAATCATATTGGGGCGACCTCTCCTGGCTACTGGTGATGCGATTATAAAAGTGAGAGAGGGAAAGATGCTATTGAGGGTAGATGATAAGGAAGCAGTTTTCAATGTCTACAAAGCAATCCAACTTCCCCGTCACTATGGGGAGCTCT